ATTGAAAAGAAAACAGTAAGGTGTATTGTACATTCTGTTCTTTATTTGTACTTGAATCTAGTGTGAGCCAACTGTCAGCCTGTCACATTTTGTTCCAATTATGTGGAAATTCTAACTCTCTCAGAGATCTGTCGGTTACACAAACATGATTTTTATAACGTTTTTTTCCTTTTTTTAATGAAGGCCACATTTTTGTTTAAGCATATGGTTATGAGAAACATATCTTTTCGGGATGGATATAACTGTAGCAAAGGATAGATTTAAGATAATGTTAATAATGATGAAATGACTTGAAAGGATGAGTTAATTCGGAGAAAGCTGAGAGAGTGGTATTGCGAGTGTTGCTGGTGCAATAAAAGAACGAAAGTGTTGCATTTTGTTTCATTTGTCATTCCTTGTGATTTAGTATACACACTATTTTCCTTGGCTGATAATTTCGGTGATTTTAAAAATTTACGGTTGCTTTTTCACTCTACATTTTGCATTTTGAATCACACCAGAGTCTCATGTGATTAGTATAATGCAATATTTTTGAATAAATGTAATAAAAACTTTTCTTTTGGCTAAATCTTTTCCCCTAAATACTTTATGCCAGTTGCAGTTCCAGTTTCAAAGAATTGTCTTTAAACAATTTCTAGGTGTAATGAAAATAAAAATGAAAATTGTTTGCATGGATAGTATACTGAAGAAATATCCAGAACTTTAAATTAGACCTGTCACTTCTCTCTTCTCTTTCAGTGTCTGTTCTTCTCTCTCTCTCTCTGTCTCTCTCTCTCTCTGTCTCTCTCTCTCTCTGTCTCTCTTTCTCTCTGTCTCTCTTTCTCTCTCTCTCTCTCTCTCTGTTTCTCTCTCTCTCTCTCTGTTTCTCTCTCTCTCTTTCTCTCTCTCTCTCTCTCTCTCTCTCTCTCTCTCTCTCTCTCTCTCTCTCTCTCTCTCTCTCTCTTCTCTCTTTCTCTTTCTCTTCTCTCTTTCTCTTCTCTCTCTCTCTTCTCTCTTCTCTCTCTCTCTCTCTCTGTCTCTCTCTCTCTCTGTCTCTCTCTCTCTCTGTCTCTCTCTCTCTCTGTCTCTCTCTCTCTCTGTCTCTCTCTCTCTCTGTCTCTCTCTCTCTCTCTCTTCTCTCTCTCTCTCTCTCTCTCTCTCTCTCTCTCTCTCTCTCTCTCTCTCTCTCTCTCTCTCTCTCTCTCTCTCTCTCTCTCTCTCTCTCTCTCTCTCTCTCTCTCTCTCTCTCTCTCTCTCTCTCTCTCTCTCTCTCTCTCTCTCTCTCTCTCTCTCTCCTTCTCTCTTTCTCTTTCTCTTTCTCTCTCTCTCTCTCTCTCTCTCTCTCTCTCTCTCTCTCTCTCTCTTTCTCTTCATATTTTGGACTAAAAGACAACTAAATTATTTTTTGTTTTATCTTGTACCATTTTAAGTCTCAATTGTGTTTGCCTGCATATTGAATGGGGGTCATAAGAAGGCCACTGTATTATAGCACCATCAGACTGAATTTACCTTTGGTCAGTATTACAGACATGAACATTTACTGGAAGGGACGGAAGCAAAGACAACTTCTTGAGGAACAAGTAATGAGATCGGGCTTCTGAAAGAGTGGAAGGAACAAATCAAACTTCCAGAGGAACATTAAAAAATTTGTGACTTATGAAGAAGTAAAGGAAGATTTACAACTTTTCTGAATGAATACAAAAGGTGATTGAACTTCTGAAGGAACAGAAGAGACTGAATTTCTGGCCATCACCGAAATTCCAAAGATCTGATACAACTGACACAAACACTACTACCATATTTGTAAAAAAGAAGAAAAAAAAAGGAAGAAAGAAAGAAAGAAAAAAAATATAATATATATATATGTATATATATATATATATATATATATATATATATATATATATATATATATATATATATATATATAAAAGTAAAATATAAAAAAAACTATTAGAGGGTGTTGGGAACCCCTGTTCTGAAGGAACTTGGAGAGAACATCTTGAAGAATAAAAAGCGAATTCTGAAGGAACAGACGAAGAGACTGGAGGAAAAGAGAGAGAGAGAGAGAGATAAAGAAAGCCTTTGAACGAACAGAGAGAAAAATGAACCAGTGAACAAAGGAAGAGATTGGAGCTATATAGACACAGTTTGAACTTCCGAAGCAACAGCGGAAGATCATGAACTTTGAAGAATTAGAGGAAGTTATTGAACTTCTGATGGAATACACGTAGGCCTAGAGATGGGGTCTCTGGACGAAAAAAGAAAGATCCTGAACTTCTGAACATTTTGAACATTTGAAGGAACAGAAGATATTGAACTTGTGAAGGAACAGAGGAAGAGACTGAAAAGTTCTGAAAGAATAGAAAAGATTGAATTTCTGAATAATAATAATTATTATTATCATCATAATAATAATGATACTAATAACATTGATAATAATGAAACTTACATGATATCTAATGCAATATATCCCCTATTCAGAGCCACACAAAATATCCCAAGCACTGAAAGAGATACA